TGAGTGAAACCATCCGGTATTTTTCTTTCTCTTTCTGGCTTATCTCACTAAGCATGATCTTTTCCAGCTCCATCCAAGTTTCAGCCGTTTTTATGGTTGCTGTTTAGAGCTGAAGGTTCCATCCTATATTCATTTGTTTTGTATTCAACTTCACTTCTTCTGCCTGACTTTCGACTCCAGGACCTCTGTCCTTTTTCATCTACTGTAGCTATTGTTTTGCACAACTTAAGTTTGCTTGGTAGATCGATGATGCCATACTTTATATCTCCAGCTCTGACCCTTCCCTTGAGCTCTTGAGTATCCCTCTGACTATTTGATATCTCTAGCTATATGTTTGATTGACCACTCATGTTTAGTATAAGCTGAAAAAAAAATCTAATTCTTCCTCCAAAGGACCTCACTTCATTTCTCATCTCAATTGTTCAGTTGCTCAAGTTCAAAAACTATTGATTATCCTTGATTCCTTCCTTCACCCCCAACCCAATCTAATTTTAAAATTTAGATGTTAGATCCACTTCAGAATGTAATTCCAAATCCATTCACTTTTCTCTTTGCCAGTATGCCTTGTCCAAGCATATATCATGTATTGTCTTCGAGAATAACCCTCCCTATTTATATTCAACTTCATTTGTTCTGGGCTTCCACTCCTACTGACACAGTCTACTGACACAACAGAGTAATCCTTTCAGAAATAAGCCTAGCCTTTTTGCCTCTCATTATACCAAGAATAAAATTCTTAGTTCATATCATGATTATGATGTGAATCAGCCTTATCCAACAGGCCTCACACTGTCTCTCCAACTTTTTTCCCCACCTCTTTTCTCTTTTTCCTCGTACTCTACCCACTGGCCTTCTAGATTCCCTGAATATGCTAGACTTATTCCTGTCTCTGAGATTGGGTACTGTCTTGGTCTGGAACACTGTTTCCCTTAGAGTTTCTTATAGCTAATCCCACCTTGGATTGTCTTCACTGACTGTAATGCCCCCAGCATTCTCTACCTGTTGCTTTGTTTGTTGGTTTTCACTTTCATTCTTTAGTTTTGTTTTGTTTTTTTATTTTGTACTTTGTCTTAATTTTTTGTATGGACCCAACAGCAACCGAGTACTGACTTTTGACTACAGGACCTCTGTCTTTTTTCATCTACTGTTGTCATTGTTTCGCACAGCTTAAGTATAACTGGTAGACCGATGATGCCACTCTTTATATCTCCAACTCTGAATATGTGTTTGTAGACTGTATGAGTATAATCTCTGAGACCAAGTGGAATATTTTATTAATTCAGCAGATATTCACCAAGCCCTTGCTGTGTGTCAGGTAGAATAAATACTAGGTACTGGAAATACAAAATCATAAATGGTTTAACCCAGTTCTGTTTTATCTTTCAAGGTCAAATTCTGAATATCTTTTTTTTTTAAGATGTATTTATTTATTTATGCATACAGAAATGGGGTACAAGCCAGAAGCACTGGGGCGGTGTGAGGATTCACTAGACACAGATCAGGAGCAGAACAAAGTTACACTGCTGAGGGGAGCAGCAGGCAAGCCAGGAGAGGTCTGCCATACCATGTGGGTCACCTCTGGGACCGGGGATCGAACCGCACTGAAGTGGCTGCAGCTAGCTTGCAATGCTTCATCCTTACCCGTTGCGCCACCAGGGAGGGCAGGGACTCACATTCTGAGGAACCCCTCAACCTCCCTTTCATAAAGCTTTGACCCAGGTGACTTCATGTCACCTGTGCTTAGTTTCTCTTAGCACAACTTAGGTGAAAAGATCTGCAAAAATTCTGTGGGAGAAAATTAGAGAAATAGGACTGTCTAGTGGCTCAAGGGGTTAAGTTAGCATTGTCAAGCTATCAACAGCCACTGAGGCCTAAGTGTGAACTTTGGGCAGGGACGTGACCCACATGGTGCAACAGACCTCTCCTGTCTCACTCACTGCTCACCTCAGCAGTGTATTTCAGATCTGCCTGTTCTGCTCCCCACTCTGTCTCTGGTAAATCTACTCACCCCTCACAACTCTGGCCTGTGCCCCAGTTCTTGTATGCATAAACAAATAAAAAGAAATCTTGGGGGGGAAAGAAAAGACCATAAATCATAAAATACATAAAAATGATAAAATCATAAAATACATAGAAATAAACATAGGTAATAAGTTCTTTGACATCCATCTTAGTGATGTCCATGGATTCATATCTAATAGCAAGGAAAACAAAAAGAGTAAACAAATGGAACTATATCAGCTTCTGCACAACAAAAGAAACAATTGTTAGTGCAAAAAGGCAGCTTTATATGGAAAAGACCCTTCCATACCATAATCAGAAAAGAGATTAATATCCAAAATCTATAAATAGCTGATGCAGTTCAACAACAAAAAACATGAGCCTGGTGAAAAAGTGGGCAGGATGTCTAAATAGATCTTTTTACTAAAGAGAAAGCACATCTTTCACTATACAAGAGAACAGACACATGAGAAGATGTTCTGTAACACTAAGGAAATGTGAATCCAAACTATCATGTTTAACAATTAGTAAAAAATAAGTTGGTTTACATGAAATTATAAAATAACATTATAAAGTGTGAGAACATAGAAGGGGAGGTTTGATATAATAGTATAGCACTCCATTATTTAGTGGCTGCATTTGAGTCAAAATTCAAAAGCAGTGCTGTTTAATTAAAGACTTTTTCTTTTCCCCTCTGTAGTGGAGCACATGATCCAGAAGAACCAGTGTCTCTTCACCAGTACCCAGTGTAAGATCTGCTGTGCCTTGCTCATTTCTGAATCCCAGAAGCTGGCACACTACCAGGTATGCTATTAGACCTTTAGAGTTGCTTTTCTTTTCAGACACAATGCCAAGTCTCCACTTCTTCCTGGCCTACAAAGTGAAATATAATTCCCTTTTAGCCACCCGGATGTTGCTTTCCTGCTTGTTGACTGTGACTTAAAGATTTACTTAAATTTTCTGAGTCTCAAAAAAAAAAAAAAAAAATTTCTGAGTCTCATCTCCTGTCCTGATCAAGATCATTATACTTACATCTTCCTTGCAGTTTGGTATGGTAGAAAGTATGTGCATTGGCTTTCAATAAGCCCAAGTTTGAATCACAGTTCTGCTTCTCATCTTCAGCAAAAAACCTCTGTCTTTAGGCTCAATTTCCTGATCTATAAAATAGAAATGAAGGTTATTTTCTCATAGGTTATTGTGAAGATTAGGTTTGACAGAATATAAAGTGCCTTGCACAAAACAGAAGCTGAATAATGTAGGTTTCTTCTCCTCAAAAGCTTTTCTGAGGATGAATCAGAAGAAAATTTACTGTTTCTGATTGCCCTTAGATATGAATTGGCATGTGGCTATCTTTGATCTTTTCCCTGGGTTTTTACAGAGCAAAAAACATGCCAACAAAGTGAAGAGATACCTAGCAATCCATGGAATGGAGACATTAAAGGGAGAAACGAAGAAGCTAGACTCAGATCAGGTAATCCAGCTGCCATCTTGAGACTACATGCTTCCTCATGAAGCCAGCAGGCAGGTTGGTGTGGTTGAAAGAACACGGGCATTAAGTCAGACTGACTTGGCTTCAAATTCCAATCCTGCTTTGTGACTTGGGTAAATCTTACTTCTTCTCTGAGTATTGAATTCTTCCTCTCAAATGAAGATGCTAATAATAAACTACCTTCTAGGATTTTTCCAAAGTAAAATGAGGAAAGATTCAGAAATAGTTAATCCAATGCAGAGCCTGATTCAGTGAGAGCTCAATAAATAAAGCCATTGTTATATATTGCGACCCAATGCTTTGTTGGAATAGGACAAGAAGATGCCTGTTCACTACTCAAGGAGAGAAAGCTAAGCAGCTTACTTTCTTGAGATCTGAGGGATAGGGCTAAGTTAAACACTTGGACATTTTTAATAAACTGATAGAAGGAACATCTTCCCAAATGTTTGCTCTAATTGAGATGTAAATATATTTGCTGTTTGGCTTAGAAGTACTCCAAGAATTATGCTGAAACAACCCTATCCTTCAGGGATACCATTTTTATTTTGTGTGAAGCAAGCATCATAGGTGTCATACCATGAGAAATCAGCAGACTAGGACCCCAAACTAGTCTGCAACTTTCACTTTTGCTTATTTGAATAACTAAGCAAGTGACTTAACCAACCATTCAGTCCTATACCCATACAGGGTAGATAATAATTCCAACCTCATAAGGACATTGCGCGGTAAAATTCCAGTTAGTAATTGATACTCAATAAATAGGCAAACTATAAACTCTGCCTACTATTTTTATGACCATAGGTTTAGAAGGACCTTATTCATCCCTTCTCCAATTTCTTTAGGTTCATCCCCAGATTGCCCTACTTCTTGATGATTTAAAACTTCAGAAAAACAAAATCAACTCCTCGACACCCCCGATGTATCATGGGTATTCAACTCTCAGAATAGTCTGGTAAATCAAATGAGATCATAGGCTCCCTTGTCCCCAACCCAAGAATTATCAGCTCAGAAAGTCAGTACCAAGGTTGAAAGATGCTGTCTTAGAGAGAATACTTTATAGATCAGACCTTCTTAGAGGGAGGCTGAGAGTCCTTAATATATGCTTGAAATACATTGTTTTCTAGCCTAATCATAGTCAACAAATAAAACCCAGTGATCTTACTCAACAAACCCTGCGCATCTGCCAGATGCTATGTGCCAGACTCCAGCAGGGAGCTTAGGAGAGAAAACAGAGATGACTGAAATGGTCCATACCCAAATGTTGCACTTTAGTTTACAGAAAAGTCTCCTAAACTGTGACACTCAGTTTAGGGTGACAAGTGGTACGATAGAGAATTATTTTATCCACTGTGGTAGTACAAGGAAGGGATAAACTTAATTTTTCCTGTAATATTCACACAACATGGCTTCATAAATACAGAATAAATTTTTTTCTTCAGTAAAATCTCCCCGAAGAGGTGCTGTTTAAACTGGGCCATCCGGCCTCCCTGGTGGCACAGGGGTTAAAGACATAGTGCCATCAAGCTGTTACCATTGCAGTACCAGTTCCATCCCTGGCCAGGGAACTAACCCACATGGCGCAGCAGACCTCTCCTGTCTCGCCCACTGCTCCCTTCAGCAGTGTAATTAAGTCAGTTGCTGGTTCTGTTCCCCACACTGTCTCTGGTGAATCCTTTTAGGCACCTCTCGCCTAAATGCCAATTCTTTTATGCATAGATAAATAAAAATAAATCTTAAAAAAACACCAAAACTGGGACATGATGGCTACACAGATGTATCCCAGATAGGAAAGAAAGGAAGATCATTCTAGGCATCAAGAATACCCCCAAGCAAAGCAAAGAAGCACCAGAGAATAAAGTGGGGAATGGTGAGTACAGCCTGGGACAAGGATAGATGGACAAGAATACAGAGAGGTACGTTGGGGCTAGGTGTAAAGGGTACCTTGAATGCCCATTCTGCTATGGGCAGTGGGGAGCCATTGAAGATTTTCTGGCCGGGAAATGGCATGATCAGACCTGTGTTCTTTCTCCCAACCAGAAGAACAGCAGAAGCAAAGACAAGAACCAGTGCTGCCCCATCTGTAACATGACCTTTTCTTCCCCTGTCGTGGCCCAGTCGCACTACCTGGGGAAGACCCACGCAAAGAACTTAAAGCTGAAGCAGCAATCCACTAAGGTGGAAGGTACTGGTTTTCCTGAGTAGTGCTATATCGGGACCCCTCCCGCCCTCAGGGCAGCAATGCCAGGTGTTCCCAGAATGCCCACTGGAGCCATAGACTTGGAGAGGTACTTTTGAAGTCCTTAAAAATACAAAGTATTGTGAAAAAAAAAAAAAAAATACAAAGTAGACCTCACTCAACTGTAATGCAACTTCAGAGTTGTGCTCTACCTAACATCTCTTCCTTTGCTTATATCAGTTTTTGTTTTTGTTTTGTTTTTTTTTTTTTTTTAAGCTCTGAGCTTTTGTCCTAACTTAAATTTTAACTCAGGATTGCTGAAGTTCCCCCAGGCCGTGCACACAGACACAGTGAGAGCATTCTCTTTCCTTCTCTCCCACAGCATCTACCTGCCCTTAATACCAAGTGTTCCAGGTTCAAAGCTAAATCCTAGTCTTTTTCGTTTGTTAAGGTTATGCCCTGCTCACTTTAATCATCAAAGCTGCCTATTCTCCTCAAGACAGGTACTTACCTTTCAAAGCTGAAAACTTGAGTGCTACCACTACTGCCCAGCAAGCTATGTTTGCAACTGCCATTAATTTATTCCCAGTGCTGTAACTTCTAAAATAACTCCCTTTATCTTGTCACCACTGAGGCTCAGTCTTCACTTTCATCTCATTAGCTCCTGACTTTCTGGGATTTTTAACCTCTGCTAACTGCAATTAGTCAGGAGTGAAAGTTCTTTGATCTTTATTTCATTTTTTCTTATAATTTTTGTTTCTCTATTTTGGCCAATATGTAGGCTACACTTTTTTATTATCCTTTTTTATATTGTTATACAAGACCACAGTGTTTAAGGAGGCTTTGAAGATCAAAAAAAAAAAATCACGCATAACATCTTATCACACCCAAATCTAGTTATTCATGCTGTGAAACAACAGAATATGGACATGGAAGTCACAAATATCCAGGTTTAATTCCTGGTGCTACTTTTTGCCGTATAAATTTAAATTCTTCATGTCTGAAGTTCTCACCTACAAAGTGTTGAATACTATCTATTTCGTAGGCTGTAAGAATGAAATAATGTATAGAAAGAACCTAGAACTTAACAGATACTCAGGAAATGACAGCTGTTGCTGTTAGTTTTAACGCCATCATCAAGCTAACCAGTAAAAGGAATCCCCCAATAAATTGCAGTAAGTGGTCAGGCACCTGACCACCTGAAGTATGTCGTTGGCCTTGCTTATGCTGTGTTCATCACTACATTATTCTAGTGCTCATTGCTAAAAACCTATGTTATTTTTTTTAAAGATGTATTTATTTATGCATACAGAACTGGGGTACAAGCCAGAGGTGCAGGGGTAGTGAAAGGATTCACCAGAGACGTAGGGGGAAGCAGAACAGGCAGATTGATGAGTACATTGCTTAGGGGAGCAGTGGGTGGGTCAGGAGAGGTCTGCTGCACCATGTGGATCACCTCTGGAGCTGGGGATTGAACTCACACTGAAATGAGTGTGGCTAGTTTGCAGTGCTGTGCTTTAACCCCATTGTGCCACCAGAAAGGGCCTCATTGCTTATGTTTTAAGTCAGTGTTGGTACCAATTATGGTGTCAATGGATTAAGCATTAGGCCAAAGGAAATTAGCTGAAGAACACAACTTTGTGACATCTCTTATCTTTATATAGACTTAACTTTCCATAAATAGAAAAATTCCTTGAAATATGTTTGGTCCCAGAGATTCCATATTAAAGAGATCATTCCATATTAAAGAGATCATTACCACATACAGATATGTTTTCATATAGCTGTAATCATAGTGCATGTCCCTTTTACTTTTCATTTAATGTTGTAGTTTAAGCACTTTTCCATGTTGCTAAATGAGTTTATAGCTATATTTCTGAAAGTAAATTTTCTTCTAATATAAAAGTAATACAAGCATATGGAAAACATAAATGAGAGAAAAATTACTCATTATTTTACTATTCAAAGATAATCACTATTGGGCCCTCTCTGGTTGTGCAGCAGGTTCAAGCACTGTGAAAATCTCTCAAGCTACTGCAGCACAAGTTCAATCCCCAGCCAGGGAGACCCACATGGCACGGCAGACCTCTCCTTCCTCGCCTGTTCTGCTCCCCACTGTCTCTGGTGAATCCTCACTCCCTGTACCTGTGGCCTGTACCCCGGTTCTTATATCCATAAATAAATAAATCTTTAAAAAAGAACCACTATTGGGCCCTCCCTGGTGGCGCAGCAGGTTAAAGTGCAGCACTGTGAAACTATCTGCAGCCACTGACGTAAAAGTTAAATTCACAGCAAGACATGCGCAGCAGACCTCTCCTGACCTTCCCGCTACTCCCCTCAGCAGTGTATTTCAGTACATATGCCTTTCTGTTCCTCACTCTGTCTCTGGTGAATGCTCTCACCCTTCTGCATCACTGGCCTGTCCCCAGTTCATGTATGCAATGAATAAATCTTAAAAAAACAATAACAGGAACCTCCCTGGTGGCACAATGGGTTAAGGTGCAGCACTGCAAGCTAGCATCAGCCGCTTCTGTGTGAGTTCAATCCCCAACCCCAGAGGTGATCCACATGCTGCGGCAAACGTCTCCTGACCCGCCTGCTGCTCCCCTCAGCAGTGTACTTCATTGATGTGCCTGTTCTGCTCCCCTCTTTGTCTCTGGTGAATCCTGTCACTGCCCCTGCACCTCTGGCTTCTACCCCAGTTCTGTATGCATAAATAAATAAAATATATAAAAAAAAAGAAATTGGTTTAAAAAAACAACAACAAAGATAGTCATTATTAACATTTGGAGGACAGTTTCTCCTATAATCTCTTGTTATGTGTATGTCTATATATATATCTGTGTGTAATATTTGTTATCTGTGCCATTAGGTCAAGTCCATGTATATGTGCATATAAAAAATGAATAATTTAAATAACCTTATTTTAATAAAAACAGTGCCTACTTATGAAAAAAAACTATGAAGAAGTAAATTAAAATATTATCCAAATCCTGCCTTCAAAAGAGAAATCTTACAAATATATTGGTGAATATTTCAGAATACCAGTACTCACATAGAGAATTGTGAATGTATTTCTTTCAACAGTGATATATTGTGTGTAATTTTCTTTTATATTCTTTTCATTTAATATAGCATTTGTATTTGCCCATGTTACTAAAAACTTTTCATAAACATTTTTATCAACTATTTAATGTCCCACCATACCACCTTTAACTATTCTTCTGATGTCAAACATTTATATTTTTCCCTTTCCCTTCTTTTGACATTTGTAAATAACACTACAGCAGACATCCCTGTTGACTGCGCTCAATATTCTGAGCTGCTCTCTGAAATAATTCTCCCAATCCTGGATTCCATTCAGAGGTTCCTCCAACTTTACTTAACCACTTACCTCTATACTTCTCTTTAGTATGTTTTAAAGAATGACCATTGTGTCTTAACTACCATTATTATCTCATGTTAAAAATCTACATTTGCTGTGAAAAGTATTGAAAAGCACTCTTTCACCTTTCATCCATGCTTTTACCAGTATGTTTTAATGCTGTTTGACAAAACTGAGGGCAGGGCCCTCCCTGGTGGCGCAACTGGTTAGAATGCAGCACTGCAAGCTAGCCACAAAACTGAGAACCTAAGAAACAGATTACTATATGACCTACCTTTTTTTCCCACTCAACACCACATACTGAATATTTTCTCATACTATTAAATACTCTGCAACATGTTTGTTACTTTTGGAGTGACTTGCTGAAACAAAGTCTATGACCAGGGAAAACCATTGTGGGAAAAGCCATGAGGTTTCTTCTAGCTTGCTAGAAATCCTCAGAACTTCCCCCATTGAAGTGCTAGGATTAAAGAGCACTAGTAAGCGCTGTAAAGCACCCACCACCACTCCCCCACATCATTGGTGGAGGGTCTAGGCACATTTTTTTTCCCCCAGCTCTCTCTCCACCCCTGCCCCTAGCAGACCACATGTTTTTTGTTTTTTGTTTTTTTGTGCTAAGTGTTATCATTTACTTTTTTTTTTAATAATAGTTTATTTTTACATCATCTTGTGCATTTTTCCATCTCAGTTGTAATCCCCTAGGGCTTCCCATCACCAAATCACCCATGTGCCATACATAACCAAAGTTCAGTGCATTTCCCTCCCCCCACTGTTTTTGATCCCATTCCCCACTCCACCCCATAAATTGTTTCCAGTATATAACTGTTCATTATTATTATTTTCTCGCCTGGTCTGTTAAACTCCTATGAGTGAAACCATTTGGTATTTTTCCTTTTCTTTCTGGCTTATTTCACTAAGCATGATCTTTTCCAGCTCCATCCATGTTGCTGCAAAGGACATGTGTTTCTTTTTTTTGGTTGCTGAGTAATATTCCATTGTATATATGTACTACATCTTTTTGATCCAGTCATCCACTTTTGGGCATTTGGGCTGTTTCCATGGCAGACCACGTTTTTTAACCATGGTTACTAGTGTTCCATCCTTCTGGACTCTTTAGTGAAGCATGGCATCTACTTTATAAGGCAGTGTTCAGCATCAGGCCTGCAGCCAGCAACAGGACATTTATTGCCTCACAGGGGTCTTACACAGATGCTTGTAACAGACTGCTGAATTGAATTCAGTGTCTAGAGACACCTGGAAGCATGAACTATAATCTTCAGTTCTCCCTGCCACACTCTGGCAATCTGGCATAGGAAAGAGGGCATGATCTAGAGTCATATTAACCTGGGTTTATCACTGTAGGTGATCTTGGGCAAGTCATTTCACCTGTGTGAGCCTAAGTTTTTCTTCATATGTAATAAAATGTTAACCTACCTCATATATTTCTGACAAGCATTTAAATATATACGTACAAGACACATAACCAAACATCAGTGTCATATTTCTCCTATTCTTAGTCTAAAGGCAGCACAGTCTAAAAGGCCATTTTCTAAATGACCCTCAGGCCCTCAGTTTCTGCTTTGGTGTATTGGCTCCCAGCTCTGTAACTGAGGGTTGGGGAGATGAGAGGAGAGAGGGTACTTTGAGGAAAGGAATAAAATAATGACTACTTGGCCCACTTGCTGTGACATTCTGGGAAGTCTGAGGGATGTAAAAGACTACAAGTATGTGCATCTCTAGTCTGTTGTAATTTGGCAATTTAAGGGCAGAAGTGCAGAGCCTCCTGAAAATAAGCTTGGGTCAGCATTAACTAGTTAAAGCTGCTAAGCAAAATAGCTCTCCATATCTTCCCAGTTTTCCCAGTTAGAGAAGGCTTCACTATGTGCTTCACACAGGCAGCTGCACATCTGCAAGTGTGATAAATAGTGACCCAGCCTTTCTTTCCATTCAGCATCCTAGAAAACCTGGCACCTTCTGTTTTTTTCATTGTTTCTGTTTAAACTCTCTCACTGCAGCTCTGTCGAAACGCCTTACAAACCCTTTCCTTGTGGCCTCCACCTTAGCCTTGCACCAGAATAAAGAGATGATAGACCCAGACAAGTTCTGCAGCCTCTGCCATGCAACTTTCAACGACCCTGTCATGGCTCAACAACATTATGTGGGCAAGAAACACAGGAAACAGGAGACCAAACTCAAACTCATGGCACACTACGGGCGACTGGCAGACCCTGCTGTCTCTGACTCATCAGGTAAGGGGGCCCAGCTCTCACCCAGAGCTGGATCCGAGCGTGGCCACTAGGGCTCCTTGACCACCAACACAATTTTTTTCCCCATAGTGTTTCTGAAACAATAGGTTTTACAAACTTGGATGCCTGCAGCAACTAGGAAATTTTAAATAAGTGGAAAGAGCCAAGAGGGGATATGGTCAGCTGAAGCATACATACCACTCTAGCCAACTCTAGCCAGTATCTTCTTCCATTTTTTTTTTAAAGATTTATTTATTTATGCATACAGAACTGGGGTACAGGCCAGAAATGTGGAGTGTGAGAGGATTCACCAGGGACAGAGTGGAGAGCAGAACAGGCAGGTGGACAAAGTACACTGCTGAGGGGAGCAGCGGGCAGGTCAGGAGAGGCCTGCCACGCCATGTGGTCTCCTCCAGGGCAGGCGGGGATCAAACTCATGCGGAAGGTGACTTTAGCTTCTTAGTGCTGTGCTTTAACCCGCTGCGCCACCAGGGAGGGCCCTCTTCTTCCATTTTTCAGAAGAACTCAAGAAATCAAGTTTGACTAAGAATTCTCCTCACTTTTAAATGCACAACTAAGTTTTTAAAACTTAAACATTGTATCAGTCTGACCTATCTGCAAGCCAGATATAGATCCCAGCGCCAGTTTGCAACCCTTGATTTCAGCTCTCTGTCATCCATACTCCTTGTAAGGTTCTGCAGCATGTGCCAGCTTTTAGAGTGTCTTCCAGACCCATCTTCTTCAGCAACCAAAGCCTACCTCTGCCCCTGGAATAGTGTGATGAAGGAGACACTCTGACTCAAGTTCATCTCACGATGCTAGTCAGCATCACAGGACTGAGCATCACAAAAAGTTAAGAACCCCTCAGCTCAGCGCAGTAACTTCCCACAGCCTATAGGAAAGTGGGTGGGGGAAGATTGTTTTTTATCTTCTATTCAGTCAGTAAACAATTATTGAATACGTACTATGACCCCTCAGTAGGGTATAGTAGTGACCAACACTGTCTCGTGGAGCCTGCGTGAGTCTTGGTGTTGGTCCTCAGGGGCTTTCTTCCCAGCCATGGAGATGCAGCATCAGCCAGCATTGGAGGCCCCTGGGTATCCAGGTGTGAATATGTTGGTTTCAGGGCTCCTGTTGCTCATTATTATCTGTGCTCCCTGTGCAGTCTAGAGAAGGGAACAACCAGATGCCGTAGATGTCCCTCAGCAGTGTACTTCGTCAGTCTGCCTGTTCGGCTCCCTACTCTCTCTGGTGGATCCCCTTGCCCCCCACACCTTTGGCCCAGTTCTTGTATATATAAATAAATAAATCTAAAAATATATATATAGGCAGAGGGGCAGGGATATCATGTCCCCTTTTGATATTAATATATACCTTATAATTTAATCCTCACAGCAATCCTATAAATAGGTTTATTTTCCCTCTTTACTAGAAATTTCAGATTCAGAGTGACTTGATCAGGGTTAATAAGTGTTAATCAAATCAGTATGAATTTCTAGTTTGTCTAACTCTGAAACTTAAACTCCTTCCTCCTGTTTTCCAGCTCCTAGAGTACTTAGCAGGAGGCTTCCCAAGGATAGAACATCAGCAGATTCTGAACCCTCCTCACGCCTTCTTACAGAGGTTGCTATTGGCAGCCACTGCAGCACAAGTTCAATCTCCGGCCAGGGAGGTGACCCACATGGCACAGCAGACTCTCCTCTCTCACCCACTGCTCCCCTCAGCATTGTGTTTCAGTAGATCTTCCTGTTCTGCTCCCCACTCTGTCTCTTTGGTGAATCCTCTTATCCCCTTTTCCCACTCCTACCCTCACCCCTGGCTTGTATCCCAGCTCTTGTACGCATACATAAATAAAATAAATCTTTAAAAAAAGGAGGTCCCTCCCGGGTGGTGCAGTGGGTTAAAGCACAGTACTAAGAAGCTAAAGCCACTTCAGCATGAGTTCAATCCCCACCTGCCCCAGAGGTGACCACATGGCATGGCAGACCTCTCCTGACTCGCCCACTGCTCCCCTCAGCAGTGTGCTTCGTCAATCTGTCTGTTCTGCTCCCCACTCTGTCTCGTGAATTCTCTCACCGCCCCTACACCTCTGGCCTGTACCCCAGTTCAGTATGCATAAATAAATAAATCTTTTTTAAAAAAAAAAAAAAGGAAACAAATGGGATATAGTGATAACCTAAGAATTCCTAATAGGGAATTCAGAAGTCTTCCAAGAGGGCAAGGAGATAGTGTGAGGCAAAATAATGCTGGAGAGAGGAACAGGTGTCCACATGGTGGGCCATGTGAAGGATCTGGGCCTTTCACCTATTTGCTTAGGAAGCCATTGGCAATTTAAGCATTATTAGGTCATTCTGGATACAAAGTGAAGAATGCTTGGCAGATGGAGGATTATCAATGAGTTTAATGGTAATTCATGTTGGAGAAGATGGGAGCATGGACTGAGCAGTGAAACAGGTACACAAGTATGATTCAAGAGGTCCGTAGGAAGTAGAATTGTCGGGACTTGGCCATCAAATATGGGAGTTGAAGCAAAGGGAGCAGTTTTGTTTGTTTGTTTTTAAGGATTTATTTATTTATGCATATAAGAACTGGGGTACCGGCCAGTGGTGCATGGGGGTGAGACGATTCACCAGAGACAGAGTAGGGAGCAGAACAGACAGATCAGTTGAAAACACTGCTGAGGGGAGCAGTGGGCAAGTCTGCCGCGCTATGTGGGTCACCTCCTTGGCGGGGAATTGAACTAGTGCTGCAGTGGCTGCATATGACTTAACCCATTAGTGCTGCACCTTAACCCATTGTACCACCAAGGAGTGCCTGAAAGAGAGCAATTTTAGGATGCCTATAAGTTATCTAAGTGGCAATCTAGACCTCAGGGGAGGTCTGCGTTAAAATATTTCAAGCTAGGTAGGTCAAAATTATAAAATATTGATAGTCATATGTTTTAACCTAATCAGTAGTAATTGAAGTCAGGGAAGTGATTGACATTCCTTAGAGAGTTTAGAGAGAGAAGAACTGAGAATCTAAAATAGAGTGCTCTGGAAATTCTGACACTTATCATGAGTAAGCCTTGCGGGCATTATGCTAATTGAAATAAACCAACAACAAAAGACAAATCCTCTGAGATTTCACTTACATGAAACAACTAGAATAATCAACTTTTTGCAAAGAAGCAAAAGGTAGAATGGTATTAGCCAAGGGTTATTGGAGTTCTTTAATGGAGGGTTTCAGCTTTATAAGATGAAAATAAGGAGATTGGTTGCCCTGTATGAATGTGCTTAATGTGACGGAAACAGTTTTCTCTAGCCCACACCTCTCCTTTGATATTCCTGAGTTGTACATGGGAAATGACTTTGATGGTAAATTTTCTATTCTACTTTCTATATTATCACAGTTAAATAGTAATAGTAATAAAAGGGGGGAAAGATTGAACCCTTGGAATGACAATATTAAATGTTAGAGGTCAGACAAGAGAGACTCTGACGGAACAACCAGAGGCAAAAAATTAAGAGTGGGCATGCTAGAGGCCGAGACCTGGGAAACTGAAGAAGGGAGAAATGACCGGTTCTGTCAGGTTCTCTGAAGAGTCCTAATAGAATGAGGCCTAATAGGCACTCTCTTTGTCTATACAATTTGATACAGGAAAGCCACCATTGGCCTTGAAAGGCTGGTGGGGGTAGAAGGGCATTGCAAAGTAATTGAGAGACAAGGAAATGGAGAAGCAAGTATAGACAGTTCTTTCAAGTCTTAAAAATGGAGAAGATTTAGGTGCTTTTCCAAATATGCCAAAAGTTTAAGAATCAGCTTTACTGACTGTAATTTCCCAAAAAATCACTAAAGCAAGCCAATATATCAACTATGTCACATGACAAGCAGGTGAAAATTTACAGTTGTTGGGTACTAGACAAATCTGCTTTTCTTAGAAGTACCAATAAGTTCTGCAGTTGCTCCAAATGATTCGAGTCTGTCTTACAGTCAGGTAGTGTGCTCAGTTCTTGTAGCTCATACGTGACCTGTGGTGCAGAAGGAAGAACATGGACAGAGGTTTCACATTCCAAAGGGCAAATCCCAGCTCTTTTCAAGTCAACCACTTACCTCTCTGGGTGTGTTTCCTACTGAAAAATAGAAGTTAATGGAGACATCATCTACCTTGCAGAATTTTTTGTACGAATACAAGGATATAAGTATCCAAAATTCTATCGTGGTACCTGGTGCGCAGTTGATACAAGTTGATAATTGTAATGTGGTATTAGTGACTTAACCGTTGGTGGTTGTCACTCCCATACCAGTCCCAGGACCCCTGGCCTTGGGGAAAGGATGGTTCTGCCAGTCCATTATGTATCCTATTTGTTTTGAACCATTATGTTCAGAATTCTGGCCATAAATGTTTAAAAGGACTATAAATTCCAATTGTAATAATTTTGCCTTAAATTCTTTGAAGGGACGTGTCTCCTAGAAAATACCTGAAAGATAACAGGGAAGCAAACCTAGTTAGGAACGTAGGCTAAAAGGAGCTAGTCATGCCAGCATGACGTAGGAAACCCAAAAGTGTAAAACTACAACAGTGATAAAAGCTCACATTGTCGAGCACTTACTGTGTGCCAGATGCTTTTATTTGGATCATTTGAATAACCTGATGAGGTTGATACTAATATTAACCTCATTTTATAGGTGAGGAACCTGAGTCTCAGAGAAGCCCCACTTTTACAGATGAGAAAACCAAATCTCAGAGAGGTTAAGTCACTGGCCTGTGTTCCTACAGGTAAGGAATAATAGAGCTGGGATTTGAGCCTGGGTGCTTTCACACTAGAGCTGTGTCTTAAGGATACCAGATGACTTACAAGATGTCAGAGCCACAAGGACTCTTCAAGGCATGTGTGCCTGACTTTCTTGTACAGCTCACATCTGGTCTGCTAGAATAAAATTCAGGTTTGGCCAGCCAAACCTGGATTTGTCACTTTTGTGTGTTAGGCATGTGACCTATTTTCCTCCTTTATAGAATAATGGTAATGATTCACACAGGATTATTATAGGGGAAGGGGCAGACAGAATTACCTGCAAAGCATAGCCTATATCAGGCACTTAGTCAGTATTAAAGTTGTGGTGTAAATGGCTTATCGTTGAGGCAAGCTAAGGATCAGAAAGGTGAAGAGCTTCAATGAAGGTCATTACTCTACTGACCCAGGCTCTCTACTGGTAGTGAGGCAGGATGACTGTGAGCCCCCAGATAAAGACACTGATTTTCATAACAGACCATCTCATTAGTTACTGTTAACTACAAGCCGGAGGAGAGTGGCACCTTCCCAGAGATCTCTCAGCAAAGACGTCGTACTGAGGCGATTTAGCTAGCACAGTCGAAGTGGATAAGAGTCACAGCAAATGTCACCTCTTTGTTCTGTCATTCTTTTCTTTACTCACCAGATTTCTACTCTGGGCCAGACTGAATGCTGGGACTGGGGCACAGAGGGAAAATCATATTCCAAGTCAGGGAGCACAAAGACACACAGCCTGGTTCCTCTGAGTATCCAGGCCTCTGGGATTTTTCATCAGGCCCACCACCTGACCTCACCCTGCCCACCCATCCTCAGGAGGGAACGCGGATGCTCTGTGATGAGCAGCAGTCCCCCGTCTTCCTTCTAATTGAATAACTGAGCATTTTGATTTTGATGTGTTTCAGCTGGAAAGGGCTATCCTTGCAAGACCTGTAAGATAGTGCTGAACTCCATAGAACAGTACCAAGCTCATGTCAGCGGCTTCAAACACAAGAACCAGTGAGTAATCATCCTTTGAAATTCAAGTGTGTGCAGCAGGAAATCAGAGCTTCTGAGTCAGAACCAAGCAAGGTACTCCTTGACTAGAATAGAATCCTGGAGTCTTTCCTTAGTCAACAGAAGATCAATCAGTTAATAGAAAACTGTGTCTCCTCTAAGCATTTTTTTCTCATCAGCTGCTCTCTAGCCTTTGGACCTACTGGCTGAATGTTTTAGTATAGAAACACAAACTATTTCCGTATTGGTCTCCTTACTTGGCTTTCCTGGCCTTAGCAGTCTGAGGGGGAAAGCCTTTTTTCACTGGGTCTGAATAGCCTAGGCTTTGTGAGCATCAGTTCTGTAACAAGAGCTCCCCCTATAGGTTTTTTCATTCATTGATAAAGTAATAATTATTGCTCCCCCTATTTCTGCTAACATGACTTTACATTCTAATGGGCAGAGAAAGACAATAAACAAGTAAAATCCAATAATTATAAGTCATTAAAATGCTTTGAAGGGAACAGGTCAGCAGAGCTGTCAGCTTAAACCCCTATTTTGGTGTAAGCTATATTCCAAACAGATTCTGTCAAATAAAGCCTACAATTGTAGGAAGAAGGGACAGTTTTTCTGATTCTATAGATGTAGATGTTCACTGTCCAATGTGATGTTGTGACTCAGCTGAGGCCTGTCTGGCTCACAGAATACTCCTCCAGGGCATCATGCTGAAAGGAAGTTGTGGCGCCATGAGAGGGGAACTCTCATGAGAGGGGAACTGTGGTGTAGACGGTGTGTCACGACATAATCTGAGATAGAAATCAACATTCCCACTTTAAAGGAAACCTGAGTTTTAGCAAGTCTGCTGAATGCTTTGAGTTTGGTAGTTGTGTCTGCATTGCTCATGGAGCCAAATAAATTGGAGGTGGTAGAATCACAGTCAGTGATGGAATAAAAAATTGGTCCTCTGAACTCTGCCTGATGTTTCTTCTGCCTCTTTTTGACTATATCTTCCTTTGTATTTTTTAAATAAGATTTATTTATTTACACATACAAGAACTGGGGTACAGGCCAGAGGTGTGAAGAGTGAGAGAATTCACAAGAGACAGAGTGGGAGGAAGCAAAACAGGCATGTGTACTGAAATACACTGCTGAGGGGAGCAGTGGTTGGGTCAGGAGAGGGCTGCTGCACCATCAGGGTCACTCCCTGGCCAGGGATTGAATTTGTGCTTCAGTGGCTGCAATAGCTGCATAGTGTTATGCTTTAACCCATTGTGCCACCAGGGAGGGCCCTACTTCTTCCTTTAAAAAAAAAATTATTTTTATGTGTATAAGAACTGGGATACAGGCCAGAAATGGGGCAGGGAGTGAGAGGACTCACCAGAGACAGAATGGGGAGCAGAACAGGTGGGTCTACTGAAATACACTGCTGAGGGAAGCAGCAGATGAGACAAGAGAGGTCTGCACCATGTGAGTCAGCTCCTTGCTGGGGATCAAATTCACACTGCAGTGGCTGCTAATAGTTGCATAGTGCTAAGGCTTAACCCCCTGAGCCACCAAGAACTCCTGTCTTTTACTACATCTTTAACTGGGAAGACTCCTAAGGCTTCTCTTTAATAGGGACTTGAGACAGGTCCCAGCAAGTTAGCATGGACCTCACTTAAATTTTTATCGTCCTTTTTATCGTCCTTGCAGCTGGACCAGTGGCAGTTTTGGCAGACAGGTTAGAGTCAGCCAGAGCCCTGTTCTGAAATAGCCCAGTTATTTACTGTTTTCTTCTTGCACTTTCTAGCTATGTGAGACCTTGAATGTCAGTCAACTTCTCTGACCCTCTAATCCCTCTTCTATAAGATTATAACTAATTTGTTGAAGATAGGCCCCCTGGGTGGCGCAATGGGTTAAAGCACAGTAGTATAAAGCTACCTAAGCCACTCAGCACAAATTGGATCTCAGGCCAGGGAGGTGACCACATGGCACAGCAGACCTCTCCTGACCCACCTGCTGCTCCCCTCAGCAGTATATTTCAGTCAGTCTGCCTGTTCTGCTCCCTACTCTGTCTCTGGTGAATCCTCACACACATACCCCCCATACCTCTGACCTGTACCCCAGTCTGTATGCATAATTAAATAAATCTTTAAAAAATTTTTTGTTGAAGATCTGATTCAGTCTCATGTAATTTGCAATAGTGGTTCTGTTTTAACATACTTGCTTTTTTTTTTTTTTAAAGATTTATTTATTTATACATACAGAACTGGGATACAGGCCAGAGGTGCAGGGTGGTGAGAGGCTTCACCAGAGACAGAGCGGGGAGCAGAACAGGCAGATTGACGAAGTACACTGCTGAGAGGAGCAGCGGGCAGGTCAGAAGAGGTCTGCCTCGCCATGTGGATCTCCTCCAGGGCAGGAGCAGGTGGGGATCGAACTCATGCTGCAGTGGCTTTAGCTTCTTAGTGCTGTGCTTTAACCCACTGTGCCACCAGAGAGGGCCTAACATCCTTGCTTTTAAGGAAACCTAGGTTAAGTGGCCATGTTTACAGTTACTTGGAGTTAAGTGCAGGATTCCAACTTCCCTGACTTTGAAGCCCATTCATTTCCTCTGCCACTCACAAATGGAATTCATCATCCTCAATTTATGGACTCGTGAGAATTAGAGATAATACTTGTGAAATACAAGTACCAAGAGGGGATATTAAAGATAAGCTTTCATTTACTCTACAAATTATTGAGCACCTATTATGTGCTGGGTCTTGATTTGGACACTGGAGGTTCTGTTCCCTGATTCTTTGGATGCCCCTCAGATGGTAAAAATAGATCCTAGGCCCTCCCTGGTGGCACAGCGGGTTAAAGCACAGCACTGAGAATCTAAAACCGCTTCCGCATGAGTTCGATTCCCGCCTGCCCTGGAGGTGACCACATGGCGTGGCAGACCTCTCCTGACCCGCCCGCTGCTCCCCTCAGCAGTGTACTTCGTCGATCTGCCTGTTCTGTTCCCCACTCTGTCTCTGGTGAAGCCTCTCGCCGCCCCTGAGCTTCTGGCCTGTACCCCAGTTCTGTATGTACAAATAAATAAATCTTAAAAAAAAAAAAAAAGATCCTAAATTAGGCCCTCCCTGGTGATGCAGCAGGTTAAAGTGCAGCATTATGAAGCTGGCCGCACAAGTTCGATGCCCAGCCAGAGAGGGGATCCATATGGTGCAGCAGACCTCTCCTGCCTCACCCATTTAGCAGTGTATTTCAGTCAATCTGCCTCTTCTGCTCCCCACTCTGTCTTTAGTGAATCCTCTCACTACCACTGTGCCTCTGGCCTGTACCCCAGTTCTGTATGCATAAATAAATATTTTTTAAAAAATAGATGCTAAACTGGCCCTCCCTGGTGGCACAGCGGCTTAGAGCACAGCACTAAGAAGCTTAAGCCACTTCCTCATGAGTTCGATTTCCGCCTGCTCCAGAGAAGACCCACATGGCGAGGCAGACCTCCCCTGACCTGCCCACTGCTCCCCTCAGCAGTGTACTTCATCGATCTGCCTGTCCTGCTCCCCACTCTGTCTCTGGTGAATCCTCTCACCTTCCGCATCTCTGGCCTGTACCCCAGTTCTATATGAATAAATAAATCTTTAAAAATAGATGCTAAACAAATAAGACATCAGGTGGTGTTTGGTACCCAAAAAGTGGGATAGAGAGGGACAGGGAAGCTACTTTAGATTCATTATGAAGGGGAGACTATTCATTCTGTACCACCCAAATTGTTAGAGCCTTGTAAGCAGAGTAAATGATTTGGTATAGTCAAAAGGAATGCTGAGGCCTCCCTGATGGCCTAGGGATTAATCTCAGTGCTACTACCATGACAACCCACTACAACGGCCTGATTCGATCCCTGCCAGGGAGCTAACCCATATATGACACAGCGGACCTCTCCTGCTTTACTCACTGCTCCCCTCAACAGTATATTTCAGTAGATCTATGTGGTCAGCTCCCCATTCTGTCTTTGGTGAATCCTCCCACCCCCATACCTCTGGCCTATACCCCATTTGTTCTATGAGAAATAAAATAAATTAAAATTTTATAATAAAGGAAAAATTATTTTTTTTTAAATAATAGTTTATTTTTACATCATCTGGTGCCTTTTTTTTATCTCAGTTGAAATCCCCATGGGCTTCCCACCACAGGTTCACCCATGTACCATCACCACAGCCCCATGTACTTCCCCCACCCCCATTTTTTATCCCACTCCTCCCTCCACCCCCATAAAATGTCTCTGGGATATAGTTATTCTTTATTATTAATATTTTCTCCTCTGGTCCTTTATACCCCTACTGTAAGTAAAACCATCTGGTATTTTTCCTTTTCTTTCTGGCTTATTTCATTAAGCATGATCCCTTCCAGCTCCATCCATGTTGCTGCAAAAGGCATGTGATTTTTTTGATTTCTGAGTAATATTCCATTGTGTATATGTACCATATCTTTTTAATCCAGTCATCTACTTTTGGGCATTTGGATTGATTCCATGTCTTTCCAATTGTAAATAAAGCAGCAATAAATATGGGGGTGCAGGTGTCTTTTTCAATCAGTGTTTTTGTGTCCTTTGGGTAGATACCTAGGAGTGGGATTACTGGGTCATATGGAAGCTCCATGTTTAGCAGTTTGAGAAACCTCCAGTTTTCCATAGTGGTTGTACTAGTTTGCATTTCCACCAGCAGTGCAGGAGAGTTCTTTTTCTCCATATCCTTGTCAGCATTTGTTGATGCTAGTTATTTTAAGATGTGCTATTCTCACTGGTATGAGGTGATATCTTATTGTTGTTTTAATTTGCATCTCCTTTATTACAAGTAATGTTGAACATTTTTTCATATGCTTGTTGGCCATCTGCATTTCCTCTTTGGAGAAGTGTCTTTTTAGCTCTACTGTCCATTCTTTGATGGGATTGTTTATTTCTGTTGGGTTTCATCAGTTCTTTGTATATCTTTGTGATCAATCCTAATAAAGGAATAATTTTTTTTTTAAAGAGGCATGAACAGTACTCCACAGTCTACCACACTTAAAAGTTTACTTTGTAGATGACTGGATTAAAAAGATGTGATACATACACACAGTGGAATATTATTCAGCGATCAAAAAAGATCAACACATGTCTTTTGCAGCAACATGGATGGAGCTGGAAGGGATTGTGCTCAGTGAAATAAGCCAGAAAGAAAAGGAAAAATACCAGATGTTTTTACTCACAGCAGGGGTATAAAGGACCAGGGGAGAAAATAATAATAATAGTAATGAATAACAATATACCAGAGACATTTTATGGGGGGCGGGGGAGTGCACTGGATTATGGTGATGGGAAGCCCATGGGCATTACATCTGAGATGGAAAAAGGCACAAAATGATGTAAAAATAAACTTTTTTTTTTTTTAAGTTTACTTTGGGCACATTACTCACACTTTCTGAATTTTAGTTTCCTCATTTATATTGTGGGGGTCTAGTCCCCAACTTACAGAAGGGTTAGATAGGATGCTGGAAGCAAAACATCCAGTATTGTTCCTCAGACTCAGTAAAGAGCTACCCTGCTTGGGGTGATTCTCAGTAAAGAGCTACCCTTCTTGTCATGCCAAGACCCAGGAAGGACTATACTATCACTAGAATGAACTACCTGGACAATCATCATAACCGCCACAAACTGATTCTGTGTCTTTGTTCCTTCTGAAATTACAGGTCACCAAAAACAATGGCATCACCCCTGGGCCAGATTCCAACACAAAGGCAAACCATTCAGAAAGACTCAACCACCTTGGAAAACTAGAGGTGTTTCTGCCGGCACCCCAGGTTGAGCCAGCCATGAGCCAGAGTCCACTGACTGTGGTCAGCCTTTGGCTCCCTCTTCCTTTCCCACCTGGAGATACATAGGCCTGAGGCAAGAGTGGACCACAGGAAGCCTCTGATTGGTCCAGGCAAACAAATCCCTGTTCTTCCCTTGGGAATGGATCCTGTAGGTCAAGGACAGAGGAACAAAGGTCTTGAGAGGACTTTGGGCCTCAAAGGGTGGTAATTTACAGGATGAGCTTTACCATTCTTCAGCCTCCTTGGGTCAAAGGCCAAAGACCGTGAGGCTCCCAAGTTGCCTTTCCTCTGCAGGTCAGTTTTGAACCATTGGCCACAGCTAAGGAACTGAGCTCTCCCTGGACTCCATACACCTCCAGTGAAACCTTGTCCTGTGCAGGAAAGAGTAGATCGAAGTGACTCCATGTGGAAGTTTGAAACTAATATGACACTCCCTGTCCCCTAAAAAGTACAGGTGTCTCTGCACCTGGGACTGGATGCTGGCCCAGTACCCAAATTTCTGCCACTCTGACAGTCCTGGTAATGTCACTGTCCCTTCTGCCCCTTCTCCACTGATATTGAGTGGTGCTAAGCATCTGCAGCAGGTGGGGACAAGCTTGAGCAGGAGGTGACTTTAGTTACCAGTGGGATTATACAAAGCTCCCATGGGGCTTTTTTCCCCCAATTCCATCAGAGGTGCTCTGACCCAGGGTCATGTGGGAAGTCCCCATGTGGAAGTCTCCTTGATGGATCTGTGTCCTTAAAAGCCAGGAGTACCGAGAACAGCCCTACTGTCCTCTCCTTCCCCCTGTGTAGGGATTTGTTTGCCGCCTGCCCAGGTTGCTCTGGTGCTAGCCTTCTCACATCCCTTCACTTCTGGTACCAGGAGCTTCCTGGGTACTAGGGAGCAGGTTGGGACCTTCAGAGAAAGAAGTGGAAAACTGTTGCAGTTTTCTACAGTGAGGGAACAGATGTTCCCCAGGTCTCAGCCCAAATTGCTTCAGCTCTGCTGTTTCACTGCCTGGATTTCACTGGGAGTGGATTTTTCCTTGTCGCTTTTAAAAAGAAATTGCAGGGAGTGTCACCATTAGAGGTCCTTCTTTGGTCCCAAGCCCCAAGCTGCTCTCATTACCTCCTCCCCCAATTCTCTGTCCCTTTGCCTGTGAAATGCCTTTAAGTATCGTGTGTGGGTGCATATGTGTGTGCTTATGCTTTGTCTCTTGGTCACTGAAGCAGCTAAATAAAGAATTTCTTTCATGAGCCACACTGCACTGAACAGACCTGGGAATTGGTGTCATCTTGTCTTGACCCCTCTCCTTACCATGTTTAAATTCCTAGGACTCTAGATTCCCATCATAAATGTTGGACATAAGACATATCCAATTGTTGGCAATCCTGCAGAAGTCTTCCCAGGTGCCCAAACACCATCATCTGTTCATGTACCTCCCCTTGCCAAGTAGGGCCTCCCAGCTTTAAGTCTAAGCTGGGAATCTGTTTTGTTTGGTCTGATTATTCTGGCTGCTATGTTGAGAAGACAGGGAGGCTCTCTCCGCGCTAACCCTTTCAGAGCAGAATCTGTGTCTAGTTTGTGTCTACTTCCCTGATGTCCAGAATGTCGTGAAGTATTTTTTGGATGAATTAATGTGTGAGAGCTTTTTCCTATAAAACACTCATGTCTGGTGATCTTGGAAGAACCTTTTTGTGACCTAAAAATGAGCTGGGAAAGGAATGAGTATGTTGACTTAGGAGTCTTTGTCAAACCTTTCATTTAGATAGCCAGATCTTTGGGTGCCCAGGCAGCCGCAGCCCCCAGTTTTCAATTAACAAACTTTTCTTGGGCATCTGATCTTGGCCACCTGGGAAAAGCCCTATACAGGCCCCAGGTTGAATTCTTGGCTCTCAACTTCCAAAGCCTGACTATCTCAGCAGTTTCCCAGAGTCCTTTGTCCTTCCAGGAGGTCAGAGTCAATTGCATCTACCAGGCCAAGAGTGAAAGAGGATAGAAGTGGGGGCGGGGGCTGCAATACCATGACTCCTTAGCTGCAAAACCTCTTAGTTTGGGAATCTGGCTTCCTTGTGGTGTAAGGATACGTGAACGAATACTTTCCCTTGGGGAGCTCACACGTTAAAGAATATTGGGGCAGTGGTCGGGGGGGTTATACGTCATATATGGTAGTGCCCACAATGTAAACAGTAACTCACCCAAGGGTGTGAAAAAGCCAGAGAACTGGGTAAAGTAACATTTGTTCTGCATAACAGCCTTTAAAGTTAGGTAGTAATAATCCATTTTATAGGGAAGGAACAAGTGTCAGAGGTATAGGGATTTGCCCAAGGTCTTAACAGTAAGTGGCAAAATGGAGCGTAGAATCCAGTCTGTAGTACTGCTAATCTAGAACCTTTTCTAAACAAGGACCAGAGTCCTTCCCACATGACACAAATCAAGCCAGTCCAAGCAGGGGCAGCAGCAGCCTCCACAGTATAGATTACATAGGCTCAATGTTTATATCCCCAGCCCCCATACTTTTCATTTTCTCTAAGTTACCAGTAATATCTAATAAACCTAAATAAGAGTGGTTAGCTATAAAGAGAATTTATTGATTTGTCATGAAAAATCCAGGTACCTGCTCTTGGCAACCTGGGAAAAGCTGGTTCAGGTTATGTCAGTGTCCAGGGCTAATTTCATCCCTACGCTTCTCTCCCCAATGAGGTCTTTTTCTCCAACTCTCCCGAAAGTAGCACAATGGCAACTGGCTGCTCCAGGCTTAAATCCTGCTAGATTAGAACCTCAGTGGAAAGAACATCTTTCTCGACTAGTTTCAACAACAACAAAAAAATCTGATATTAACTCACTGGCCTGATCCCATCCTCAACCAACCCCTGTGGCTAGGGAAAACTATGTTCTAGTTAGGGAAGAATGTGCTTCACCTAAAACACACTGAATGGGAGTGATGCATCCCCAACATAAATAGGGCTCCTACCAGACTCAGGTAGAAGAATGGATATGGGTGGGCAAAAAAAGTTTTTGTCAGCCATATCCATAAATTGTCTTTACTTAACCTTTTCTCTTGTTTTTCCTAACACTTTGAGATAGAGTGTACATTTTGTAGTGTGCACCAAAGTTCAGTGCATAGTTTGATAAATCCTCATTCATCTGGGAAGTCACCCTCCAGATCAAGATTCAGAACACTGTTAACTCACCAGAATGTTGCATTGTTCCTTTAGTATGAATCCCCCAAAAGTAAACACTATTTTGACTTCTGTCACCATATATTTGTTTTGCTAGCTCTTGAATTTTATAATAATGGAATCACACATCTCTTGCTCAATTTTATGTCTGTGAGCTTCATTCATGTTAATGTACTAGAAGTTCATGTTGTTCAGTGTTGTGTAGTAGTTCATTACATGAATGTATCACAATTTAGCCATTTTACTGTTAGCTAATTATAATTGGGTTGTCTCTGTTTTGTACGTTATAAATAAAGCTATTGTGAAAATGTGTTTATCATTTTGTGCATGTGCATGCATGTACTCTGGAGTGTAATTGCTGCATCACAGAGTAGGTGTGTGTTTTGTTTGGCTAGATATAGCCAAATGGTTTTCCAAAATAGTTTCTACAACTTACATTCCCATCTGAAATGTATGCGAGTTCCAGTTACTCTACATTCTTGTCAGCACTTGGTATTGTCACTCTACCTACTTTTGGCTATTCTAATCCGATCCAGGAATTTGAGCTCAACTTTAACATCAGAGCCCCTCTTATTGTGAGCACCCTAAGACCAGATTTGAATTTCTTTAACTAGGTATGATTGCCCGGGATCTGCAGTATAGAACACAGGTAAACATCAGGAAAGCTCCTGTCCATGGTTCCAGTAGCAAAGGAAGGTCTCACAGAGTTAGAGGCAGTCCAGTGTGATGACAAAGAATTCAGGCCCTGGAATCAGGCAACCAAGGTTCAGATCCCAGCTATCACTCTGGGGGTATGTGCTCTTAATTGGTCTTGACCTGTACCTTGGGGTAAAACATCAGTGTCTGACATACTGTAAGTACTACATAAGAGGTAACAGCTGTTTTCTGTTATTGAACTGAAGTGCCTGGTCTTCCTGGACAGGTGAGTCCACAAGCAGATGCTCCTGGTATAGCCCCCTCCCTGTATTTAAACTCATGATTTATGAAATGCTAGAAACCTGTTGTAATCTGAAGAGGTGGGGGAGGTGTGGGGCGAGCAACAGGCTGGGCAAAACTAATCCCTGGGTTCTATTTCTGTTGTTGAGGAAACCTCAAGTTATCCCAGATACTTGAGGCTCTACAACCAGTAACACCCAAGAAGACTATAAAGGAACTATTATTATATAAAGCTCTTAGCCCAGAACTGGGAATAAAGCAAGTGTTTGGCTACTACAGTCTCTCAGCACAGAACAATTGCATATGCACCCATACAGTAGCCATAAGGCATATTCTGGGCGACACCGGCCTGCCCTTTGGAGGCCCTGGCCATTCTGAGCTCTACCTCCAGCTTGATGAGACCTTAAGCAAAGCTTGGGAGATTCAGTTCCCAGAAGCGTCCTGAAGAGAGTGATGAGAGCCCTTCCAGAGCAGATAAAGTAGAAATCCCTTCCTTCACAGCACTTTTGCCAAGTGTACTCTTCCCACCCTTAACTAGACCTGATGGGACAGGGCAGGAGTGGGAGGGTCACTAGTGTCAAATACCTCCCTCTGGTCATCTGTCTGCCTAACACCCTACCCTCTCCTGTACCAAGCCCACATTACAAAGAGGACAGACATATCCCTGTTAAGACACTCCGGTTCAATTACTACAAATTCAGCTCACCGGTCTAGGATTTTCAGAACCAAGGGCTCTGGAAATGGGTCAACTTTACAGTGCAATGACCTTGTTGGCCACTAGGTGGAGAATGCGTCCCTTTTGCTGGGCAAAATAGACCTTACTGTTGGAGAAAATGCTGAAAAGAAAGGAATAAATGTCCTTTCCTGGAGCCCCTGTGATAATTCATTTAGGCCTCAAGACAACTTGAAAAGGACCCATTCAGAGGAAAAACTCAGAGGCATAATCTTCCAGAGCTTACACAATCAAGGAAGCACCATCAAGGGATTGAAACCAGTTTTTGTTAACATACCTCTGAGTCTCCTTCCAGAGGTTCCTTACCCTTCCCTCAAGAAAGGTCATAGGCTTGGAGCAGACTTGATGTTTGGCCTGTGCATCAGCCGTTCATTTACTCTTCTCTCTCTGGAAACAACTCTGCATCGTTCTGAGAAATGGCTCCTGTCCCCAGTGCTAAGGGTGAGCCTGTGCCCCAGGTCTGGGGGAGCCAGCACCCTCTTCGCCAACAAATGTGGACAGTACACCTGAGAATTAAGCCAACACAAAGGAAAACAGCTGAATGGTGAGAAGAGACTGGCTTCTGATGAACATCTACATCAACCTCCTCTATTAGATTAGAAACTCTTTGAGGGCAGGAACTGGGTTTTATTTGTCATTTTGCATCCATGGTACTCAGCATAGGACTGTGATTGTTCTGATAATTGCTTGGGTTTAAGTAAATTAATGGACACATGAATAAATGTGGACGTAGGCAGGTGGGATCATTACTGGGATTTCATAGAAAAAGATTTCCTGAAGATGAGCCTCTCATGGTGATAAATACAGGAAAAGAGTTAATGAAAGCATCTAGAAGAGATGACTTGTGGGGCATAGTAGAAGGCCTCTCAGGAATCTTTATCTCCTTGTGTCTGTGCACCTTTGCAGAGTGACTTGTCACTCTAACCATCAAGATGGGGAGTTCATTACCCAGCCCCTTACATCTGGACTGGCATCAACACTTGCTTTGATGAGAGAATGCAGTTGTGTTGTTGATTTTTGGGTCCTCTGACAAAGAATTGAGCAGTCTCCTGTCTAGTGCAAAGCACCTTTATTAAGAAAAAATGTCTTCAGAGTACCAGGTGGTACTTTTAAAAGGCTGCAGCTGGGTGGGAATGCAAACTAATACAACCACTGTGGAAAACTGTTTGGAGGTTCCTCAAACTGCTAAACATGGAGCTTCCCTACGACCCAGCAATCCCACTCCTAGGTATCTACCCAAAAGACACAAAAACACTGATTCAAAAAGATACCTGCACCCCCATGTTAATTGCTGCTTTGTTTACAATTGGAAAAACATGGAAGCAGCCCAAATGCCCAAAAGTAGATGACTGGATTAAAAAGATGTGGTACATATGTACAATGGAATATTACTCAGCAACCAAAAAAGAAAAACACATGTCTTTCGCAGCAACTTGGATGGAGCTGGAAAAGATCATGCTTAGTGAGATAAGCCAGAAAGAGAAAGAAAAATACCGGATGGTTTCACTCATAGCAGGAGTATAATGGACCAGGCAAGAAAATAACAAGAATAATGTGGGGGTGGAGTGGGGAATTGGACCAAAAATGGGGGGGTGGGAAGGGAAGTGCATGGGATTATGGTGATGGCACACGGGTGACTTGGTGATGAGAAACACGCGGGGATTACAATTGAGATGGGGGGGGGAAATGTACAAAATGATGTAAAAATAAACGTTATAAAAAAAAAAAGGCTGCAGCTGCATTTTGCCAGAGCAAGGGGCATCCTTCGATACTGTTCTTAGACAGGATCTATTCCTTTGTGGAATTTTTTCACTTTGTGGAATTTATCACTTTGGGGTGGAGTTAGGTTGGTTGTTTTGTAAGACTAATAATTCTTTGTGCCTCCATCTCTGCTGTTTGACCTTGTGAAATTTTCCATCCTAAATTTATTTTAGGGATTTATTTGTTTATGCATATAAGAACTGGAGTACAGGCCAGAGGCTCAGGCGGTGAGAGATTCAACAGAGACAGAGTAGGTAACTTTACTGAAATACACTGTGAAGGGGAGCAGCAGGCAGGTCAGGAGAAGTCTGCTGTGCCATGGCCAGAGATCAAATTCATGCTGCAGTGGCTGCAGATAGCTTCATAGTGCTGTACTTTAACCCCTTGTACCACCAGGAAGGCACCATCCTAAATTTTCTCTTTTTTTGAAAAAATTTACTTATTTATGTATATGAGAATTGGGGTATAAGCCAGAGGTGTGGGGGGGCGGGGTAAGAGGATTTACCAGAGACAGAGTGGGGAGCAGAAGAGGCAGATCTACTGAAATACACTACTGAGGTGAGCTGTGAGTGAGACAGAAGCAATCTGCCAAGACATGTGGGTCAGCTCCCTGGCTGGGGATTGAACTCGTGCTGAAGTGACTGTGGAGAGTTGTAGAGTGCTGTGTTTAACCCATTGCACCACCAAGGAGGGCCCCGTCCTAAATTTTCTAAGTTTCCATCAATGTGACATTATACAAATCCCAAAGCTAGTACTTGGGGCTTGTATCTTCCACTCTTTTTAATATATATATGTATGTATGTATGTATGTATGTGTATATGTCATTCTTCATTTTGTGCATTTTTTCCATCTCAGTTGTAATCCCCATGGACTCCCCACCACCAGGTCACCCATGTGCCATCATTATAGTCCCATGCACTATTCCCGCCCAGTTTTGAACCTGTTCTCCTCTCCACCCCTGTAGAATGCCTCTGGTTCACAGTTGTTCATTGTTTTTCATTTTTACTTTATTACAATTTGCTTTTTTTTTTTTTCTGATCCCTTATACTCCTGAGTGAAACCATCTAGCATTTTTCTTTTTCTTTCTGGCTTATTTCACTTAGCATGATCCCTTCCAGCTCCACCCATGTTGCCACAAAAGGCATGTGTTTAATTTTTTGATTGCTGAGTAATATTCCATTATGTATATGTACAACATCTTTTTAATACAGTCATCTACTTTTGGGCATTTGGGTTGATTCCATGTCTTCCCTATTATAAATAGAGCAGCAATAAACGTAGGGGTTCAGGTGTCTTTTGGAATAAGTGTTTTTGTGTCCCTTGGGTAGATACCTAGGAATGGGATTGCTGGGTCATATGGATTATATCTTCCACTCTTGCAACTGAAGGGAAATCTGGGTTAGACCTTATGATCTTATGCAGATGAGAGACCACATGAAGAGAGGCCAGCAGCCAGTTCCACATCTAAGGAGGCCATCTCAAGGCTCCAGCACAAAGGAGCTACTGGTAAAAGTGATGGCCTCAGCAAAGACCAGCAGCACTGCCTCAGTAAGCCCAGCTTTTCCACATAATTATAAGAAAAATAGTCTTAAATCACTAAGTGTGGGATGTTTTGTTATTCAGTAAAGTTTCTTGGAATCACCCAGTATAGTAATCATGTCTAGTTTTGGTGTCCAGGTGTCTATCTTTCTTTTATAATGGTATTTGCCTTGAGGAATCACACCCTCAGCTCCTGTGGGGATGAACTTCACCCTTCTGACTTCTGTTAGTGCAGTTGGGAAGGACTTGCTCAGTGGGAAGATCTTGAGACCAGGGCCATTGGTAACCTAAACACTTCTTGGGGAATCTGCTGGAGAATA